GGCGGTTAGAATGGGTCTCGGATTCTAGTTAGGAGCTAGTTAGCGGCGTCACATGCCTTTCGCACCATAACCGAAACAACGAATACCATGAACCCTGAGGAGCCACCATCGATCGGCTTAGACACGATGCACGACGCGAGGTGTCGTGTCTTCTGGAACGTAGTCGCGCATAGTCATCGTGCCTTGCCGAAGGGCGAAGAAGTCTGCCCGAATTCGGGATTCATCTTGCGGCGGCTCGAACGCGAGCCGAAGGTCACTCTGGAGGGTATCCAGAGTGGGGAAGACGTTGGGATCGACAACCAACTTGCCGAGAGCCCATTCCTTGGCTTTCCCAGACAGCCGCGAGAGGAGGAAATGGACCTTCGCGGAAGGCGCCTCGATCAACCTCGAGGCGATGGCGATGTCGATCTCTCGAAACCAGCGATTCAGCGGAAGTCGATCTCCTCCGGCACCGGAGTAGGTGGACGTCTCTAGCTTCACGACGTCATTCGTGGAGATACGCGAGGGAGTTGACACTCGCCGATTCGCATCGGCGAGCTCGCGCTCCATGAATTCTTGTGCCGCAACGCGCTGCTCGTCGGGCGTCGCTGAGCGCAGCAGCGACGTGACGACGGCTTCTCCGGACACCGCCGCAAGGCGGTGGAGAGCTTCCCACTCGATCCGAGTGAGATGGAGAAAGGCAGCGTGGTCGAGGTCTTGGCTCATGTCGAACTTGGTCGTTGGAAGGACTACTAAGTGCTACCAGGTGTAACGGGCCAGGTATTTACTCCGTTACTTGCTTACACTATAGTGTTGAGGAAGCTCGCAATAGGACGACTGAGTCTTAGGTTTAAGGAAAAATCAACTCTGACTTTATTTTAGGACCAAGGCCACAGCCCTGGCCACTCAAATACACGTCATAGTCCAATTGGCTAATAATGGGTCTGGCTCCCCATATATCAGCCAATGGCATGACAGCATTTCAGCACACGCTAGTCGTGTGCTGATGCACCTACTTCTGTAAAGAAATCTACCTACTTCTGTAATGGAGGGGCCCATTACACGCACCGTCACATGTGCGAGTTCGTGGGTCTGGATCTGGAGATGACTATTAAGGAGCACTACCACGAGGTCCTGGAGGTGTTCTCGGACCTGTACATCTACATTTTCGATGGCTTGAAGGAACGTTACGCCAACGAATTGGATACTATCAACAATCAGTACCCGTTCGAGCCGCTCAAGTACATTAAGCCGTCGCTTATCATCAACTTCTAGGAAGGTGTCAAGATGCTGACGGAGGCTGGCGCTGACCACGTGCCTGAAGACGATCTGAGCACAGAGCACGAGAAGTGGCTGGGTCGTCTCGTCAAGGAGAAATACGACACTGACTTCTACATCCTCGACAAGTTCCCGCTGGCGTGCGTCCTTTCTACACGATGCCAGACCCGACGGACAAGCGTTGGAGCCACTCGAACGACATGATGATCCGAGGCGAGGAGATGGTCTCGGGTGCGCAGCGTGTGCACATTCCAAAGCTGCAGATGGAGCGTATGGACATACTGGGTGTGCTTCAGGAGTCGATGCGCAACTACATCTACTCGTTCCGTCTTGGCGCTCTGCCCCACGGTGGCGGTGGTATTGGTCTGGAGCGTGTGGTCATGTTGTACTTGGGTCTGGGCAACATCAGTAAGTCCTCCATGTTTTCGCGTGACCCCAAGAGGTTGCTCCCGTAAGCGTCTCGTCGCTAGAATGGCGTCGTATTGTTTGTAGCGGGCTCTCATTGAATAAGGATAATGCAAAAACCAAGTACTGTCAGCGATGATATCCTTAGGTCTTTGTCGCTCGATTAGCAAGGTTAACATTACATGTAGCACGTTGCGCACACATTACTCTGTTGTCGATTACACATGCTCTACGTAGCTGGAATGCCTCAGTATTTACTCATACTGTCGAACTATAGGCGGGTACAGGTTCTGGATCGTCATTGCGGCTCACGACACAACCTACATGATCACACAACCATAGTGCATGTACATGTAATTCTGTGCTGCAAAAAATTGTGTGAAACTTAGCAGACTTGCTGAGTGGGCACGGATCATCTTCGTATTTGACGTCATACAAGCATTACCTAGCCTGTTTTAAATGGTCCAGCTTCCTATAGCTCTGTAGTGACGACTACAATCATAGAAATACCTCCACTTGTGATTGCTTCAAAGTGCTATGGAGCCGTCAATGCACGCTGTATATAAACCTCTACATATAACGTCGGATCCATGTTGGTGGTATCTTCATTTGAGTTAGTGTAGAAATCCTCTTTGCAGGTGATCCGCGCATATGATCAGGGTTTGACTACCAAACAGTTGGTGCGTGTCGGCTCCTAAATTAGTAGTGTGCTGCTCTTCCTGTCAGTGGCCAACACCACCATAAGAGTGTGGGTTAAGTCAACTGTAGTGATTCTATCTTCTCCTCTTTTGATGCTGGTGCAGTAAAGATACTCTTATTTCCGCTTATTATTGAAATTCATAATGTTGGAATGTTATTTTTGGCAAGTATGTCATTAACGGAGAGGTGCGGCACCTAACCACCAGAGAGCGCAAGACCAACAAGTCTTTTAAGGCGGCAGCTGCAGCGGCGAGCTCAGGCAGAGAGCGGGACGACAAAGCCGAGAAGGAAGCCTTCGCGGCATTGGTACCAAGAGCAAAGAAAGCGAGTGGGACCTAGAAGACATATCAAGCTCCTGGAGAGACTCTTGTCTACCAGCAATCGCTGCGAGGGACTCTTCTCTAAGATCCATCTTATGCTGACGCCGCAGCGAGCTTCATTGTTGCCAGTGAAATGTTTTTACATGCTAGCAAGCTATTAAAATATATGACCCTTTTCTTCTTCTCATCCTTCGCTCGAACCATAGCGGAAAGATGCACGTCACTCTTCATAGCGTCCTCTCCCGATAGCGCGTAGTTAAGTTTGCCTCTCTTTCTGCCACGCTTGTTTCCTAGATATTGAAGGTGGGGTCGGACAGAGCGACGAGCGGAGGCAACGGCCCATGACAATCAATATTTTACCGCGAGGATCAGTGCTAGTACAAGCATGTGCATGACGTCGTTTGTAACTTTACGCTGGCGTACAGAACGTCTCTGTCTGACGAAGAGTTGTACGAGTGGCCACCATAGCAACACGCGACACTCGCGTAGTTTTCGGGCACAAGGTTGACCGTTACCTTCTCGTTTTTAGAGAGGTTTGGCAGTGCCCGCTCCTTTTCTATTTTCTCCACACAGAGTCTCGCCTCCGTCCTGCTAGCTCTCAATAGCGAGGGGTGAAAGTAAGGAGGGCCATTCCGCGGAGGGCCATGGGACAGACTGTGCGCAGAGACGACACAAAAAAATCTTTTGTAGCAGCAGTTTTTCATATAATAAAATCGAGTTATTACAAGCCGTGTCCGTCTCTAAGCGGCGTGTCCGTTGCAATATTTCAGTATACAAAATCTAAAACTAATTTGGCCGTGTCCGTCCCACAGAGGCGTGTCCGTCCCAGAGACGCGAGATATTTGGGTCTGTGTCTCACTTTCAAGATGGCGCCCTAGCCCAAACTTGCGCTTCCCGCCTGCGGCTACATAGTCGTCTATCTGGGCCTTTCAGACGAGACTTTTACAGCTCTGAAAACCGAGGCAATGGCTCGAGAGTACTCACCCGTGTTTGAGATGGTGGGAGGGGAATGCCACGATGAAGACTTTGTCGTTTTACTCCAAAATCGGCTTCAGTTATTGCATCCACAGTGTCGTAGAACGGTTTCATGAAAGAATCTGTCTGCCATAAATTTTTATACTTAGGTTGGCCCGGAGCTGGATTCTGGACAGGAACTTGCCCAAGAACCTGACGGGTCTTGCTGAGTACATTCTTGTTCATATGCCAACGACAAATTATGGCTGGGACCCCAGGAGATACAAAATCGATAGCATTCATAGACGCCAGTTCTCGATCCGTAAGAAGGATTCTCGGTAACGCAATGGTGTTCTCCTCCAAGAAAACTCGGTAAGTATTCATCGCCCAACGATAATCCTCTTCCCGCTCTCTTGGTAGCCAGCACTGCGCCACTGGAAGGACAGTGTTGAACCCCGTCAGGTAAATGATGTTAAGAAGTGGTAACTTGTACTTGTTGGTCTTGTAAGTACAATCCATACCCACGATATCTGAATGTCTTCTGTACTGTGCGAGCGTACCAGGATGCCCCCAAAACAAATATAACAATTGTTGAGTTTGGGGATCAGCCTCCCACCGATAGTAAAAGTCATGTTCACCCAGCGCTTTGAAAAGAGCATCCATCACCGTATGCGAGGCCATCTCTCGGCGCCGGGCGGCATTCCTCATGTTAGAAATATCTTGTGGAATAATACAAGAATTCGGATCCGCCTGAGCCAAACTAGCACACACAGAGCCTGGTGTGATCCCAACAGCAGTCTGGGCGTGAACAAGCTCCTGAAGTGAAGCCGCAGGAGGGACCTCAGCAGAGGCAGCCGCACGACGACGATGGCTAGAGTGCACTCTGATGTCTTCCGACGGAGGATGGTTATGCACCCGGCTTCCATTGCGAGTGTGAACTATCTCCCATGGACCCGCCGAATTCTCTTTAGACACTGCTTAAACAATGAGCTTCATTGGACATCCGATGCGAATCGACCCTCTCATTGGTCGTTGTCGTTCCGCATCAGTAAGATGTTGCGTACATTTGGGCTTCCCTGCTCGGTCGCAATCCAATCCACGCTTCCAAACTTGCATAGGGGTAGAATCAGTGTAGAAAGCACGACGCTTTGTTACGTTGAATCCATGATCTTTCGTCCACTGATGAATAGCGGCTATAGCTTCCGCTTCCGATGCATACGTCCTCTCTGGTGGTGGCTCGATGCTCACTGACGGTCTCTCAACTACGGGCATCGTAAGCAATTCGTCGACTGCATCCAAGCACAACAATCCCTCGTCATCGCATCCTGTACTGCGCGAACGACCTTCACTGAGGTTGTATATAGCCTGAACGGAGTCACTGGAAGACGCGGATAAAGTGGTCTCGGCAGGGATCGTAGCAGATAAACTTAACCCCTTAGTTCCCAGCCTCAAATATGAGGGTATATTTTGACCTCGTCCCATATACAGATATAAAGGAATTTGTATGGGGTTTCAATTAAGTCCGGATATCTTGGCGCGGGTTCGGGGTGGTAACAACGACTTGCCAGTGTGTATAGTACGGATTCTCCAACATAAAGGAGGGTTTATGTAGTACATTAAGACGATCATATACAACTATGCTGTATAAATAAACATAAGATATGTACTGTTTATTGATTAGCCTATCTTTGTGCTGTTGCATACGTCCAGCAGCGGTGAGTTCATTTATTATAGCCAATAACAAGAAAGATCAAGTGCCGTATCAATTGATTGCCCCTTGCATAGACATGTACGACCAGACGGCGCAACCACTAACGCCTCCTCCTCCACCGCTTCATCATCTTCTTCGCTCGACTCCCCAGCACCAGCACCAGCACTTGCTCCGCTCTCGCCTACCTGCTGTCTGCGTCTCCGCTTCTTGCCTGGCCGCGACGCTGGCGGTCGTTCACGTGTCCTGTGCTCTTGCAGTAGGTCGCGCGGGATGTCGTTGCCGTTGTTCCAATCAGCATGCCAAATGCTGAAGCACGTACTGACCCTGCCTTCACGCGGAACGTTGCATAGGTATTTACTAAATTAAAACGAGTTAGCCAAAGCTTACGGTAAGGGTACCAAGCGAGCTACGCACCGTTTGTTCCCGTTCGAGCACTCCGGGCAGAAGTATTTCGTAAACTTGCGAGGCTTGACCTTGTAGATGGCACAGACTTTGCATGATCGGTGGCGTCGCTTCACACCCTGCTCGCAATCGACAGTATCTGGGTTTTCTTCTAAACAATGTCCGTCGATAGCTGACGATGCGCTTCCTTGTAGCTGTGTTGAATCTGCTCTTGCCGGCGAAGGGGCAGTTCTATTTTGCGCAGATGTCGCTTGCTGTTCCAATACAGTCAAGCCCACCATAAGTTAGTTGTTATGTTGGAAGGCTGCTGAAGCAGATGAGGTTATGTTGACTGGTCAACATTTGACTTACCTCAATCTCGTCAAACGCTTCGATTGAATCTACTGCCAGTAGCTGCTCCATCAATTCCTCAAAAAACGAGAAGTGTTTTGGCGGGCGCCTGTTGTTTACCTTTCGATAGTGTCGATGAACGATAAACGCGTTCGCGAGCGCCATATCCAGAAGCCCCAGAAACAGAGTCTTGTAGTACTTGCGTGATTTGTACGAAAGCTGCACGCTGTAGCGTTGCATCCGGAGCTGGTCGTGCACATCAACACCTCCCATGTATCGGTGATAGTCACGAACCAGCTCCGGTGCCGGTAGCTCTTTCATCTGGCCTTTGATACGCCGCACTACAATAAAAAAGCACAATAGTGAGCAATGATACATATATATAAACACACAGGCTTACTTACTGACACTGACTGTTTCTCTGCTGCCACCACTGCTCAGCATGTGGACGGGATTGCGGTCCATCCACATTGCTGCGGTTATCTGCGGAAAAAGCTTATTTTCAGCCAGCTTGATTGTCCCCTGTGGTGGTACTAGCTCTCTCACACCATTCACGGTTCTGTAAGACTTGTCAGTCTTCGCATCCTTCGCGTACCCTGCCATACGCGTCTGGATCGTACCCGTAATGTACATC